CAAACTTTTGTATCGGTCCCAACACTCATACATATACTCTTAATCTCCTTGGCAAAAAGATGCTATGGCATTCCTAAGATGGTTGTTCATATTGGGTGGATTATACCGTAGCAAAAATTGTTTGCACAAATCTACCCAAGACCTTATCGAGCTGGAAGGTAGTCCATTAAGCCATGCCCTGGCGTGATCTTTCAAAGAATATGTAAATAACTTCAATATTATCACATATTCGTACACACTTTGCTATCGAAAAGAGTAACAGACCTCCAAAAATGCTCAAACATGTTGCCTTGCATCCTCATGAGGAGCACCACCAAATTGTCCAATCAAGTCCAACATGTCGAACATAATCGGTTTAAGCTCGAAGTGGTCTGCCTGAATCTTAGGAGCTACAATAGCAGGCTTAAGGTCATCCAAGGTCGGAGCTAAGTGATCTATAATAGTTCGTGGTCTTGCAACATTTTTCACATTTTTATTTGTCGTGACATTTAATTCTTCAGGTTCCTCCACTTCATTTTGAACTTCGTATGTAGATTTTTGAGCTCCTTGAACATATCTTCTTTGATAGACAATTTTTTCGATATTAGGTTCAAAATGAGATAAGGGTTCCTTAGGACTTCTATAAGTTATGCAACCGCACTACACCTGAAAAGGGACCAATTGCCAATCCCCGGCAACAACACCAAAAACTTGATCGCTTGTAAATGTATATGCTAAGGCAAGCAAATCTGTGTAAGTGTACACCATCGATGCAAATAATATAGTAGCAAGTGAGTATCATCTCCATAGGTATTGGAGGGCTTTTAAAAGATAGTTACAACTAGGAATAGGTATCACTAACTAATACTAAGGGTACGTTTGGTTCACGGAATATAAGATTACCAGTGAGAATGTAAGATTACCAGGGAATAGGATTACTGGGAATGTAAGATTACCAGGGAATATGATTACTGAGAATGTTGTATATTGTGTTTGGTTGGTTTAGCAGGAATGTAAGTTTACCGTGTTTGGTTAAAGGAATAAAAAATTATTGGAATATATGTTTGACCAAATTATCCTTATTATATATTTGTTTTTTTAACAAGTTAGAAAATATTTATATATTTTCTTTAAAAAATTTAAATTCATAAAATTTATATAATTTTTTTACAAAATTGAAAATATAAAAAGGTTTAATGAAAGGGTAAAATTTATTTTAACTCCTGAACTTCATATAAAATTTTAATAATAGATTTTTTTTGTAAATCTAAAATATTTTAAGGATAAATTTGTAATTTAACCTTCGTAGAATTTTTATTATTCAATGACAGAAGAAGGATATTTTTTTAAAGAAAAATATTTTAAGGGCATTTTAGTCCAAAACGTCGGTAGTCCAACAATACATAAGGAAATGGAGGTAATGTCATTCCCGGTAATATACCCAAAAAAATCCACTATTGATAATCTTACATTACCGGGAATGAGATTCCCATGCTAATCAAACGGGGGAATATGGATTCCATTCCCATGAGAATCCCACATTCCCCCAACCAAACACCCTTAGGGTGCGTTTGGTTCACGAAATGTAAGATTATCAGTGGGAATAAAAGATTACCAGGGAATAGGATTACTGAGAATGTTGTATTTTGTGTTTGGTTGGTTTAGCAGGAATGTAAGATTACCGTGTTTGGTTAAAGGAATAAAAGATTATTGGAATGTATATTTGACCAAATTGTCCTTATTATATATTTGTATAATATTACAAATTGTAAAATATTTATATATTTTCTTTAAAAAATTAAATTCATAATATTTATATAATTTTTTTACAAAATTAAAAATATAAAAAAGGTTTAATGAAAGGGTAAAAAAAAATTTTAACCCCTGAACTTCATATAAAAGTTTAATTATAGACTTTTTTTTTGTAAATCTAAAATAATTTAAGGATAAATTTGTAATTTAACCTTCGTAGAATTTTTATTATTCAATGACAGAAGAAGGATATTTTTGAAAAAAAAATTAAGGGCATTTTAGTCCAAAACGCCGGTAATGTTACAATACCTAAGGGAAGGGAGGTAATGACATTCCCGGTAATATACCCCAAAAAATCTACTATTGGTAATAAAACATTATCGGGAATGATATTCCCGGCCAACCAAACATGGGAATGTGGGATTCCCATCCCATGGGAATCCTACAATCCTTGAACCAAACACCCCCTAAGTGTATAAGTCTAATGATATAAACTAGGAAATTATGCAATGACAATTGGTATGAACATATGGAAAAAGTTTGGTCGAGACAAGAAAAATTGTAAAGTGAAGTGAGCAGAAAAGTTTTGTCGTGGCAAGAAAAATATTCAAAGGTAAACAAATAAAAGTTGTCAAGGCTAAAGTTATCAAAACCCTGTAAATAGATTGGCAACCTCACACAATCAGACTTCTAACGGAGCACTTAAGTTGGTTTTGGTATGGCGAGAAGTTATTTTATGCTAAGAATGATTTGGTACACTATGCTTAGGCTGCCCGACAGGATTACTAGAGTATTCAAGGACGGTTTCTATGGCAATACTACTCGGTGTGAACTACAACCCTTGGTTTGTCAGACTGTTGTTGCGACAATACCCCTCAGCGTGAACTATAGTCGTTGCCTATCCTACTCAAGCATTTATCCCTTTTAGTCGATTGAAACCCTCTCCTTATCTCTAAGGCCGATTAGAACATCACCATCCCAGATCTATTCCATTGTTCACGTAGATCTATCTTAATTCTCTCAAATCTAAGAATCAATTTCTAAAAAAATGACAATCTCTCAAAAGCTCTTACAAGGTCTAGAAATATTTTGCCTAGGCACCAGGAAATCTCTCAAAGCTCTTACAATGTTAAGGCAAAAGATTAAAACAGTGAACAAAACAACACTTAACCAACACATACTTAATCATTCGTTAACGGTCAAATAAAATATCATCAAAGCATTCCCAACACAAAAAAAAAATAGTTTATGGTGTGGTTAACATCATCCAAAAAATCAATCTTTAAGTACAAGCCCTTAAAAGATAAGAATATGAACAAGAGGAAGAAAAACTCCTAGAACCAACGCAGCTAAATCTTCAATATGTTTTTGCAGCACAGAGAAATCAGCTTCAACCATATTTTGGTTCTTCTTTGGCATACCCACTGAAACTTGTCAGGAATTGAGGCTCTGGATACCAATTTGTTATGGATTGAGAGAAGTAGAAAAGAATTAGAGAAAAGATGCTAGAAGAAAGAGAGAATGTAGGGAAGAAAAGTCATTCATTCATTGCATAAGGGAATTTTTTCTCCCATAGGCATATAATTATTTAGTTACATTGCCTTACAGTAAATCTAAGGATGCCAGCTGTCAATTCTGGATAACAAACTAAATAACAGAATGATTCTTATCCTTTCTTTTCTTCTGCAGGTATTGGGCCATCGGGTTTGGGCCGCTCCAGCTTTCCTTGGATCTGCTTGGCCTGCTCCAACTGATCAGGTAAGTTCCCCACATGACCCTCACGTGATTCAATTCCCAAATCCCTTTCTTCAATCCCTAACCCTCGTTCCTCATTTCCCAATTTCTCCTTGTTTCCTCGTCCTTCTTCTCCGACTATAACAGAATTCCACTTCAAGTTTGTAGAATCACTCTTTTGATAGTCCTTATGGAGATAGTACAAAGGTAAAAGATAGAAATGGCTCTTTTTATAATGGAACAATCAAAATTTTCTTGTCGGAGATTGAAATTTCACGAGGATTGTCAGCTTGATCCATCCATGAAATGGTCTGATCGTCGCCGATTTGCTATGGTTTCAGAAAGTGCTCCTGTTAATAGATCTGAGCCGTGAAATCAAAGTGAGAATTTTGAGGATTCTTCAAGGAACTTCAGTGGATTAAATAGGCAATCAAGGATGAGCAATGTAAAGTCCAATGGTCGGAATGTTGGTATCAAGTATTCTAAGAAGTTTCAATTTTCCAATGGCTGGAGTGATAGATATGACTTCTACTCCTGCAGCTGCGTCCAACACAATGAATACAGAGCCAAGACTGAGCCACATGTTTCTGAAACAAGAGTTGGCCGAGAGCTCAATTCTGTGAGCAAGACATAATATAAATTGGCTATGTCCAAGCAAGTCAAAAATGGTAACAAGTATAATCAACAAGTTCACAGACGTGAAGATTATGGAAATCTGAAACATATAATTGTTTTTGGAAACAATCATACTAGTCGAGATTCACTTCACTCCAAGAAAGTTTGGGAGCCCATAGAGTCACGTAAAATGTACCCCCGGAGCAACTCTGATACATATATTACTTTGAGGTCATCAACTTACAATGAAGGAGATGAGCCTTATGATAACTTTGTTAATTCATTCGTTAAGGCGTGTTCGAGTGAAGCTAGTGTAAATTTGGGTAAAATTAACCATGAGCGTAGCAAGGTTAATAGATCAAGAAATTCCAACCTTGCAACAAATAATGACCGTCATGTGGAAACAGAGGATCAATGTTCTTCACCGAATGCTGGATATTAGGAAGTTGGAATTTGTCCTGATAGAAACCCTACCCTGAATGGGGTTTCTCATTCTATGATTTGTAGCACTTCTAATTCTGATAACTACTCCTCATGCCTTAGTGAAGGACATAGCAATACCTCCACTTCACATCACAGAAATTTGGAATCTTCATCAATTTTCAGATTCAATTTTCAGATTCTGAAGATGCATGTCAACAATCAGATAGGAGAAACACTTTAATCTACATTCAAAGCGGCTTCTCTGAGTTTCAGGTGAAAGGAATGGATACAAAGTAGGAATTTAATAGAGGGATTACTATAAAAAGCCTGTTAAGAGTGTTATTAGTTTGTTATGGTTTATTATTAACTTGTTATTAGTTTGTTATGTTGGTTACTTGGGTTATATAAGTTATACTTTTGTATTAGATTGTAAACATAGTATTTCCCACTGTTTTTAATAAAGAGCTTCTTCTGTCATCTCTCCCTCTTACCATCCTTCATGGCTGTATTATCATTCGCTAAAAGATCCTGGCGTCATTTTTCTCTTTCGCCGTTGCGCCAACGATTGAGTTCCTTTACTGTTACTTTTTATCTCCCATCAAAATTCATTTTCAAAGTTCAACAAATTCCCTTCCGCTCAAAATCTGAAACCATGAGCTCCGCCGCAGCAACTATCAAAGGAGGTCGAGGCAAACCGAAGTCGAAGGTCGTTTCTTGGTCCAGTAAAGCCGGACTCCAGTTCCCCGTCGGTTGTGTGGCTCGTTTCCTTAAGAAAGGACGATACGCCCAGTGTGTCGGATCTGGTTTTTCGAGCTTATCTCTCTGTTGTACTCAAATATCTCACCGCCGAGGTTCTGGAATTGGCTGGAAACGTGGCAAGGGACAACAAGAAGAACAGAATAATTCCGAGGCATATTCAGTTGGCGGTGAGGAACGATGAAGAATTTTCGTAGTGGCCTTTCTCTGTTTAGTTAGTTCTCGTGCTTCTATAATTTAGTATGTTGACTTTGTTATCTTGCTGCTCTTGAAAGTTGGTATTTTGTTATGGCATGGTTCTATCTTCTTGGATTTCTTATGGAAGTCTGGATACTATGCTGGTTGGTTCTTTGTATGGTGAGTATATTGCAATTTTGTGTTATATGCGCCTCCAATGTGTTTGGCTAAATGCTTCAATGATATTATTGTTCTGTAATGTGTTACATTGCTGATTGGAAACAAATGTTGACTGGTTCAAAGTCGATAAAGCCACAGATAAAATTGCACTGCATCCAAAGTCTCAAGTTCAGTCTGAAGCAGGAAAACAAACTTCCATTTGTCCTTGTGATTAATCTTGAGATTCCTGCAAAACCGAACTATAGTTTGGTCCTCTATTATGCTGTTGACCGTCTTGTGAATAACGATTCTTTGCTGGAAAAGTTTTTGGATGGAACGGATGCATTTCGTGATTCAAGATTTAAACTGATACCAAGCATTGTTGAGGGGTATTGGATGGTCAAGCATGCAGTTGGAACAAAAGCCTGCTTACTTGGGAAAGCTGTTTCGTGCAAATATTTCAGGCAAGACTATTTCCTAGAGATTGATGTGGACATTGGATCATCATCAGTAGCAAGAAGTGTTATTGGCCTTGTCCTTGGATATGTCACAAGCTTAGTAGTAGATCTTGCAATACTAATAGAGGCAACGAAGAGGCAGAACTACCAGAGTACACTCTAGGCAGTGTTCGACTGGATCGTGTGAGGAAAAATTCTTTGTAAGTTGATGTTGAATGTCAGACATTGATACAACATTGCTTTGCTCAGCTATTGACATTTTGGTTTCTACATTCACTGATATTTCTTCTCCAAAGTTTGACATGGAACTTTGAGGCTTAACAGCCAAGTTACCATAGAAGAAAATCTCTGGGGAGGGTTAAGTGTTTAACAGCCTTGCCTTCCTTAACCAGACAAAATAGGATGTTTTCTTGCTCAAGAGAGGCTTCAGATTGCATCCGGGAGCTCGTAGCTTAACCGCCTTGCTTCTAACAAAAAGAAAGTCACAATAAGCGAAGATGAAAAATAATTCTTGAAAAGCAGAAGAAGAAAAGACGAGGAAAGTTAAAGAAAGAAGATGTTTTTTAGGTGAGAGAATTTGTCCGGTAAATTGTTCATCAAGACGGCAAGACGGTTGAATTCTAGCTTATTAAGTTTGCATTCTTTGTTTGATCAACTCTCTAATAGCAAGTTCATTTTTGAAGAAAATTGAAAGGTTGAAAAGTAGAGTGAATATTAAGAGTGTTATTAGTTTGTTATGGTTTGTTATTAGCTTGTTATTAATTTGTTATGTTGGTTACTTGGGCTATATAAGCCATACTTTTGAATTAGATTGTAAGCATAGTATTTCCCACTGTTTTTAATAAAGATCTTCTTCTGTCATCTCTCCCTCTTACTGTCTCCTTCCTCATTTGCTAACTCTCAGCCTCCATGGCTGCATTCTCACAAAGCCAGGCATTGTTTGGATATCCACCAGATGGTACAAAGAACAAAGATCCAGGAAATCCGCCAACGAAAACTTCTGAAAATTCTGATAACGGAAAACCAACTGCCTTATGGGTTCTCGGCATCAAGGCATGTTTTCATCAGTGCATAACCAACATACACAATTTCCTGTGTACCAAGCTCCTTCAACCATGAGTTTCTACCGTCTGAATCCTGTTTATTGGCCAGAAAATCCATCTAATGGTTTGGTTCCTTTCCCTCCTCAAAACCCGTATCTTTATACTGGCCCTCTTGGCTATGGTCCAAACCGAAACTCACATTTATGCGTTCAATATGGCGCTCTGCAGCATTTAGCTGCTCCACCGTTTAACCCTGGTCATGTCCCGGTTTATCAGTCAGTTTTTGGAGGTCAATGGCTTGTATGCAGAGGAGCGAAATCAGATTTCCAAGCCTAGTACGGCAAACGAAGCTTTCACTGAATTTAATGCGGAGAGGGTTGTTCCTGGCTGGCTGCATGCAACAGAACAAGCAGCAATTGGAGAAGGTAAGCAAAATGATGTCTCCTCCAAATCACACGCGGACGACACTAGCTTTTCCTTGTTCCATTTCAGTGGACCCGTGGCTCTTTCAACGGGATGCAAATCTGATCCTGTACCTCTGAAAGATGAGATTGTGGAAGAACTTTCTTCCCAGTTTTCAGCAGATCATGTTGAAAATGGTCATGGTTGCAATAAAAAGGAGTCTACTGTTGAACAGTACAATTTGTTTGCGGCAAGTATTGGGATAAGGTTTTCCTTCTTCTGATATAGTGGTTGGGTATAGGTGGCTGCTTGGCGGTTCAGCCCCTACCTTCTTTCCCAGGATATTTGAGTACTTTATAACTGGGAATACGATAATCTAAAATGCAAGTTAGCTTATAGTTTCTTAGTATATTGTTTACCCAATTTGTGTCATTTTTTTAAAATTGAATGTAGAGAAAGAAAAGAAAAAGGTTGGAGATTGTCATTATGATGTTTGGGGGCTTTGTTTTTTTTTCCTTGGGTTAATGAAGCTTTTCTGGTTTGAGATTTTGTTATATTGGCATTCATTTGGTCATTTCATTTCAGTTTCTTGAATGGTTTGCTTCAGATTGAATATTAGCATATTCCCCTTATTTTATTTTATTTGACTTTTTTGAGCAACAAGCAATTGAACATATTTGAAGCCTGTGGATGTGACTTTTAATTTCATTTCTTGCTCAACTTCTTATTACAAGAAAAGTGTTGATTATGAGGAACATGGTACAGATAGACTTTAGTACATAATTCTACAAGTTTATCATGGACCTATCAATGTGATGCTAAACTGCAGAATTTCTTGGTTGTTACAGTGATTCTGGACAGGGATGGACCGATAACAGTCACCCCTAAAAAAATTTAAATTATCATAAATTTTAGATATTTTCTTTGCATTTTCTATTGATAATATATTTCCTTATAATTTTATAACCTCGCCCCCTCTTAAAATTTTAGAAGTTTGCACCCTTAAAATGAAATTCTACATTTATCCCTAATTATGGGTATCCGGAGTCTATTTCCTAATTCTTTTTAAACCAGTTTTTAAAACTAAACGTATTTAAAAGAAATTTAAAAATGCAAATAAAAATTGCTTTTCAAACTAACTTTTAAAAGTTCTTGCAACAGAAATGAAGAACTGGGTCTGAGTCAGAATTAAGTGAGAAATATGTGCTTGCAAGCTAGTTGAATTTGGATTGTGAAGGTGACTCGGAGCTTGAACTATTGAGCAACTAGTTCGATGAACTAAGGCTCTTTCCACTTCTTGTAGTTCTTTGATCTTTATCTGCAGTGGGCTTCGATATCTACCTGGTTTTGAACAACTAGCCATCAAATTTCTCTGTTACTCGAATTCAGGTGTCAGCTCAGATATCAAATTTGCTTAGATGTCATTCAAACATGTGAAGATTGCACCAGATAAGCAAAAGCAAAAAGGATTTGATAAGCATTCAAATAAACAGGCCTCAACGAAGAATAAGACGCCAAACGTATAGGCACGAACAATATTGACTCTTTTTATCTTAGTATGGTGCCTTAAGACAAGACATGTACGTTTTTGCAGTACTTCAGGAGCAGCAGATTGTCCAACCAAGGAAACTATATTAACAGAGGGAAGTCCGGATAATAGATCGTTGCATAAATCAATCGATCGAAACGAGAACGGCAAGGAACTACTAGTATCAAATATCCGATCAGATATCACTAATCAGTGAGTTTCTATCAAATGAAGATCGATTTTGTCTGTTAAGATATCTCCGAAAGACTCGAGAAAAAGAAGCAATAGATGAATCTGCATTTTTCAGTACTGTTGCAAACCAATTTGTAATAGTATAGAGTGCAAGGATGATAACACCAGCAGTGTCAATCCACATCAAAATAATGTTCCTGCCAAATTCCAATCATCAATAACAAAAGGAGTCTAAAACCCCACATTAACTATCAGAAATGTTGTTAAAGACAAGATAATGCAAACTCATCGGCATTAACCATGGGGTAGGCTCGAACGATTTTTCTTCCTGAGCTTCTACAGTAAACCATAGCACAAGTTTAACTGCAGTAGTCTGTAGCATAATCGTATATAGCCAGATCAGTTGCTTTGAAGTCATTTTTTTCAAAAAGTTTGTCTTGGATCAGTTGTTCAACAGTTTCAACTAGCGCTTGGAAACCTGTGAAACTGTCAAATACGGCTGTAAATGAGACGAGACAGATCGTGAGCTACTCGAGATCGACTCGGTCAAAGCTCGATCAACACTCGAATCGAATGAACTCGACTCGAATTCTTAACGAGCTAAAACGAGCTACTTAATACTCGACTCGAAAAGCTCACGAGCTACTCGAAAAAAAATGTTATATTATAATTTTAGATTTTTTAAAATTACATTATTAAAAATATATTAAAAATACATTATTGACAATTATAAATTTAAAAAAAATATATTTTTAAATGTAATATAAGAATTTTGTAGGTTCAAATTCGAGATTGAATCGAGTTTGAGTCTCGAGCTTCAATCGAGCTCTTGAAATATTTTTTAGTTCGTGCCTTTTCGAGTTCGAGTCGAGTTTCAATATTATATTTCGAATTCGAACTGAGCTTGATAATTTTTAGCTATCGTGTTTTCGAGTCGAGTCGAGCATAATTTTAAACTTTTCGAGTTCGAGTCGAGCTCAGCAATACTCGAGCTCGAGTCGACTCGTTTACAACCCTACTGCCAAAAGGTGTACATACAGTGGCAGATGTATGTTTTGGCCAGAGTCCTTATGTTAGTAATTCATTTTACTAGAGTGCCCACCCTGAAATTTTATTAATGACTACCCCATATGAAAATTTTATGTTATTATATTAATACATGTGTTCCCACCCTTAAAACAATTTTAGATCCGCCACTATAAATATTGGATATGAGTATGGATTTGACGTGATAAGTTCAACCATTTCGAAGCGTTTCCTATTACCCGTGTCGAAGCATGCATTGGATATGGATGCTTCGAGAGAAAACAAAGAGTCAGTGAGCCGAAATAAAACATACCTTGTAATGTCCTGAGTCGCAGGTTAGTAGTTTCGGGTTAACCCAAGACTATTTTAAATAAACCTATCAGCCTTAGAAGGAAACTTGGTCCAATAAAGGTTTAATTTGGACTTGATTTGGGCCCAATGGATGATAAAAAGAGTATTTTTTTTTTATGTTTTGACCAAAGTTGCCGAATTTTGATTTTGTTTACATTTTACGATTTTATTTGAAATTTTTACTTTCTAGGACTTTTTTTTACAACTTACAAATGAAAAATATGATTGGATTTCATCAGCTGATAACAAAATAAAAGTTCAAGGAGTAAATTAACGGAAAAAATAAGAAAAAGAAATCAAACTGAGATTTCACAGGTGAAGGGACCATTTTAATTATTATGCAAAAAATAATGAGAATGTAAAATCATGTATTAAAATATCATTAAGAAAATTTTGTTCAGGCATGTCGACACTGACTGAATTAATCAAAATTAATTCAGTTTGATTGATTCAGCTGTAATACATTTCAGTTCAATGAACAGTTGAAGAGTTTCATATACAGGTTGAGAGCTTCATTGCCTTTCAAAACTAATTGTAACACCTTTAGACCGTTACACCACACAGTCGACCGATTTAAGATGCTATCTGGCACCACCGAATTGACTAACCAACTTAAAACATACTTTCTCATGCTTTAAAACGATCATTATAACCAACCATAAAATAAACTAAAATATAATAAAAATATTTTTACTGAGGAGTTCCAAAATAAAATATTACACTTTAAAAATATTACAGACCAACATGACCGAATCTACAACTCAACTGAAAA